AGTATCACAGTTTTTCATAATGAAAAAGAACATGCAAAGTAGTTGTAATATTAGAAGGAGAGGAACCATCTGTTTAAAGTCTTGACACTGATAACACAGGGACAAACAAATTCAGGGAAACAGTTCACATGAGCAGTTACTTACATGCTTAAAAGTTTTGGGGAAGGGCCTGTAGAACGTGACTGGATTTCACTGCTTTAAAATCAGCAGAAATCATAAAATATTCCAGCAGTGATGTCAAGACAATGACCATAACACTGAACATGTTTGCCATGTTATTCTCATTATTTTTTATTGTGACAGATTTTATTAAGGCTATTTATTGTTAACACATGGGTTTGTGGGTTATTAATATTGCATATCGATATATATGATTCCTGCGTTATTGTCCAACATAACCAAAATTTCAGTGGAAAGACAGGCTTGGAATTTTAAATATGGAATTCCAGATGTCTTCTCAGTAGACCTTTACTATACAAAGTTGCATTATGCATTTACAGTTTACTACCTGGAGAGAAAAGAATTAATATAGGAGTCGCACATGTCCAGCTTCTATGTCAAGCTCAGCTGAGGAAATCAGTTCATACCACAGCTGGTCCAAAATCTATCACACTTTTACATTTTTGGCAGGATGTCACCTAAGGCACTGTAAACGGTGTATGTGTGCTATATAATTATATTGTCCATGGATTTATGCACCTGTGTTGCATATTTCATTACATTTTCTTGGCCTGCTTATTAGGACTACATTTTACATGCCTAATAATATGATTCAAATTCTACCAAATATGAAACACTGATTTTCAAGCAGAGCTAAATGAAGCTTAAGTAATTTAACATGAACCAATGGAAGACAAAAGAATTACTTCAGTCATAACAAGGTCACGAGGTTCCTCTTGCTGCTCTTCCACCCACATTTCCTTTCTCTTTGCTCGTAAAAAAATTCAAGCTGGAGAGATGCAATTTTAATCCATTTATTTACTGACAGTACAGCGTAAAGCTTTTTCTTTTTTTCTTTTTTTCTTTTTTTTTTTTTCTTGGAAAGAAAGCGTTAATGGGACATTTACAGGAAATCACAATAAGCTTGGAATCTTTTACAGAATCAAATCAGAGTTCATACAACAAATATCATGTGTATTTTGTTGTTTCTAAACATCAATTGGCCGTATAAAAAGTGTAATAGAAAAATTAAAAATTTGTGATTACAATGACACAGAGCGCGTGCCAACAACTCTGTGGATGGCTTTTTATCTCATTCCCTTAGTGAAAACAGTTAACTAGGCACTGGTGAGATATTCTGTAACTGCGCAACAAAAAGCTGGCACAACTGCCAAGTGTGGCATGCCAGATGTGTGAATACATTCTGGAGAGCAGTATCAGCAGCTCCAACAGAAAGCCATAGCCATTAATCTAGAGACCTCTGGGAGTTCAGGATAGTGCTGTAAAACCTAGACCCTGCCAAGACTGCATCAGATAAAGCCATCAATGCATTGTAAAAAAGACACAAAACCTATTTCATGGGCTGCACTGATCAAGCAATTACAATCATTGACTACATTAAGCAAAGAAACAGCGGGGTGCCCTATAAAATTGACTGCCAACTTGAATAATCAATAGACTCCATGTAGAGTAAATTAAATAACTGAAAAACTATTTGGAAAAGCTGAAGTTAAAAAGCCAATCTGTAATCCCTCATCCATGGAAAAACAATCCTGCATCCAAAAAGATTTTTAGCTTGCTTTCAGTCTTGTCACTGGGAAATACAGTAACAGTAAACTAAGACGTTCTTTAACTACCTCATTCACTAGTTAATAATTGTTCATTTAACCCGGGCATTCATAATCAATGCATGCATTAGTATCATACTTCCCAATCTGCCAGGCTTCAAACACAGGCCTAAATTGCAGGGCTAATATTCAGAACGAGAGAAGTTAGAAAAATTGTATGTACTCTGGGAGACTTTAAATGATACAGAATGCTTTCCCTAATACAAAGCATATTCAATTTGGCCTGACTCTCCTGGTTATTTCCAACATAAACCATTTAGAGCAATAGCCGTAATTTTGCAATTGATAGTAGAATGGGTTGGAAGTGTTACAACAGAGCAGGTTCTTTTTTCAACAAAAGATTGCTGATTCATCAGAAAAAGTGATGGAATCACAGTGGCATTGACTGAATTGTTTTCTTTAGTCCTATAAAGAAGGGTGGTTGAAGAACAAAATTGTATCCTCTCTGGCCCTGCAAACACATATAGGTGGAGATAATGTGTTGTCCCACCATCCCCCATTCCCCATAGCTGTATATTAAGGCAGCTGAACTCAAGTTTTGAGCAAGGACCACCGCCCTGAATTTTCTCTCTTCTGGACTTCAGATACTTTTCCAAGAAACATTAACAGTTATTAAATTTTGAATGTAAAGAAGCCTAAATTTTTCCTTTTATTTTTTTCCATTTTTTTTCAGGGTATGCTTAAATGGCTGTATAACAGGAGAGAGATACAATGGTGCTTTGGAGCAGCTTATGTATGTCAGCTGTCCACCTGCAAATTGCTGGAGCTGGGCGTGAGGACCTGTATTTTATTGATTGCATTTTACTATGCCAATGGGGCTCATCCAGGCAAGACAGTAAATATTTATTTCAAGACTGATACCTTCTTCATAGCTTTAGGACATCTAGAAGAATATTGCAAAAGCATATCCAAGTTATTGTGTCCTAACAGGTACCGTTCATGTTGTTAGCACTTCCAGGGCACATATGCCATAGTTCTTTGCTTGCAGTAAGATGAGCCAAGTATTGGCACTGGAACACTATCAGTGTTTAAGACTGCTCATTAGTTTGTGCCTCATTACTGAGTGGTGTACCAACCTCAGCAAAAGCACAACTTCAGGTTTTACCTCCAGTCCCAGCTGACCTAAGTACCATTTCTTTTGGTCACAGACTTATGCCTGTCCCATAAATCTGGTTCACCACTTGGTAGGAAATGCACTGCAGTGAAGACATACATGTAACCCCAAAAGATCACTCCTTTTTTCAAGAAGGCAGGAACACTTGTAAAAACCTCAGTTAGTAGCAAATATTCTGATTTTATAACCAAGAGAAAATGAGTTCTTTTTAATCCCTGTGGTAAAAATAATAAGAAATGCCCCCTTTGAACAAATTATACTTTCTAATGTCTATATAAATTTTCTGTTTTCATTCTCTCATTCTGAATGAAAAGTTCCCTTTTTTGCAGTGAAAATATATTCTTACTTGGAAAAAAAAAAAAAAAAAAGGCCTTCTGTTTTCATTCTACCAAACTAGGAAATACCAAAGGCAGAGCTGCAACATATTTTGCTTTTCAGAGAATCTGGAGAAATGTGATTTAGCAGTTTTTCCAGTGGTGCAAATATTTTTTACTCACCTCACACTAACATGATTTTTTTGTGTGTGGATAAATTAACACGTAAGCAAGGGTGTTAGGCTCTGTACCTATGGTAATAGCATGAGTTGGGTTATTCACTGACAAATGTTTTCTTATTTTTTTTAGCTGAAACATAATGTAGAATTTTGGATTCATTCAGTCTGGTCTGTGGATTAAAGGAAAACAGATGAAGAACTGAAATTAACTCCTCACTATACGCAACTTTTCCATTGGGTTGAAATAATACTTCTAGAACATATTGAGTATATCCAGAATATATCTTGGAGCCATCATCATTACTAAAAAGTTTTTATAATTTAAGGCATCTGGGAAATATTTAGGACATTAATTCACTGTATTGGTATTTTTGGAGTTTAATGCAACCACTTTTCTTTCTTGGTACCTTTAAGTAAGTTGTAAATAAACAACCTGGAATATCAGGATTCTCTTTCTCATCTGTTAAAAAAAAAAAAAAAAAAAGAGGACAAAATCTCTGAAAACACGTGCCTGATAACCCAGCTCACCATAACTGCACATGAAAGAAAGAGAAATATGATGAACTAAAAAGGATTATGTGTCACAATAAAATTTTCCAACTTGTCTGCTGATTAGATGGTAATGTTGCCCATAAAAGCGAGGGGTGGTTGGGGGGGAAGCACTGCAGAGAACCTGATAAAACATCCTACTGAAACCTATTGTATTTACTACTTATTAGATTCTGAACTCAAATAGATCTTGATTGTTGAGAGCTTGGGTATTTAAAAGCCTTAAGATCATCAATTACATTACTCATAATTTCCACATCTGCCTGCTCCCCAGCAATTCAGAAAGAGAGAGATGGCTGTTATAAGAGTCTTTCTGCAACTTGATTACTATGAGTCTCTGTTACAATGTGCACTTGAAATGTCTTTAAGGATTTGAACTCAACTGTAATTTGCAGCTTTATGGAACTCCTACGTGGATCGCTTTTTGGTGATAGTGAAAATCAAATGAGTGGAGATGGTCCAAATTACCTGGAAGAAAAGCAGGTCCTTATCCACTCAAAGGAATCCCTACAAGCCTGCCAAAAGCACTATAAATGCACTCTTCTTTCCTGAGTCATCTGGAAAGTGAATATGTATTTCAAATTAAGCAGAAACCCTGATTAGCTCTGTTGTTATGAAGCTAAACAGCAAGATAACTATGTTTGCAGAAGACATTTTCAGGCTGCAGAGAATGTCTCTTCCCTATTGTGTAACTCTTCAAAATGAATATTTTTTTTTAACAAAGCCTTTTTTTTTATAGCACTGACACGCTGATCTTATTTCCCATTAAAGTCAAAGGAGAGCAAGCCATTATCTATTATGGGAGTTGGATCACATTAATGGAGTGCACTTTTCTTATTCACAAACATCCATGCTCATGCCGCTTAAAGACAGTGCAAGGTGCTATTTTACTGAGATCAGCCTGACTCTAGGAACAGAAATATGGTTTTCAGTAACTATCCTGGCTGCTCCTTCAGTATTGCTTGAGTGCTACCCTTATTTGAACTCATTCTTGGAAAGGGTAGGATTTCAAAGGAAATGGAGACACCTTAGCAAGTTGCAATATAGGATGGAGGCCTGTATGTATTGCTCCACTGAAATCAGTGGAAGTATGTATAAGGTAGTAAGTACGTGAGTAAACACAAGTAAATTCAAGTACTAGACCTCAGTATTAATGTATGTACCATGTGCTTTGCTGCAGAAAGAGGCTGACTTATGCTAAATGGGTGAATCCAAGAAAGCATTGTCATAATGCGTAGGCACTCTTAGAGACTGTAGAAAAAAACAATTAAAACAAGAGTATTACTTTTTTGAAGTCCATAGACCTTTAGTTTACACAATTTGTTAGTCATTTCACTTTAACAGATTAAGGAAATTATACACATTATTAGCATCTAATGCAATAGAGAAGAGTCTTGTTTTAATGTCTCCCTCCCTGTATCTGCCCCTCCTTAAATGGAAACCTGAGAAATTCCATACAAAAGGCCAAATGTCAAAATTAAGCCTACAGATATCAGGATACAGGCAACATGGAAGGTGAGTAAGGTTTCCCAAAGAATAAATGGTGCAGGAAAGCATAGGTACAATAAAGGAAGTTATAAAATCACAAGGAAGTCATGTAAAGGTGATGGAAGAGGCCACGGGAGGAGGAAGATGAAATGGTAATTAATTATGCTGAAGTAATAGAAGAAGATATGTTCAGGAAGAATAATGGTTTCTAAGAAATATAATCACCATTGTTGATAAATGCAAGCATTAATGGTGCGGCAAATAGAAGGATAACCATCAGATTCCATTTGAAATTATTGCTTGAAAGCCTACTTTGCAAAATCCTGTAAAGTCGCATGTTGATGACATGAATACATGTTCTGACTTATGACTGTTTCATCCAAGACACCTGAAGGAGTAAAACAGGGAGATGTCAATTCCATCCAAGTCATAGGACTTATGCTTTCACCTCACTGCACTAGACACATTTATGATTTACACTGGTGAATATGAAAGGAGAGGGATGCTTTCTTCCTGGAGAAGTGTGACAGCTCAAATAGAATTCAGCATTGCTCATCCTACATCAGAGAAAGTTTTTGTGGGTGGTCACTTTTTCTGAAAGTCATCCTTTTCAATCCAAATAACTGTAACCAGGATATGTCTTGCTTTTAATAATGTGGGATTTAATTTTATTTCCTTATATTTCTATAGTATAACGTAGCCTTCCTTCCCCCTCCACTTTCATATGGTAGAAAAAAACAGCCATAAAAATTTTCTTTCATTTTCATGATTGCTCTTGTTTTTTGGTCATCTACTTGGGTGTGGTGAGTATAATGTGATTTCTGCCTCTTAATGATTCCAAGTTGTTCTGTATACATAAGGGGATAAACCAGCTACCATTAAAAATACCACTGCAACCACTCAGATTTTCTTAGGCAAAGTATAGCTAATGATAAATGCATTCTACTGAATACACCACTGCTACATCACTTTTATGGACTTTTCTGAGTGCTATTTATAAATAACTGTATTTATATTCTGCCTTTTCATTTGCACACCTCTTGCTACAGATTTAGATACCAGTTTCCTGGAGGGTTTAAAAATGTGGAAAAATGGGTTTCCCCTCTGACAGAAATTTTGGGAAAATGGAAGATATCAGCAGTACTGAACTTTTCACTGAAGCTAAATAATATTTTCTGATGTAACTTAGCATGTAGAAACATGATTAAGTGCACTTACAAAGAAAGTATGGAATGAATAAGAGTACACTGACAAGAATGCTTCGGATTAGAGATGTAGCTGTTCTATACACTAATGGGGTTAACCATGTATTTTATCTGCATCAGAAAATGGGTGAAGTTTTAAAACAATGAAAATTGAAAGAATGAGTATTTTCCTCTTACAAACAAAAACTGAAACAGATATCAGCAGACCTTTAGGAAGGGACCTATCTTACTTCATCTTACTCACTCCTAAATGTTAAGACACTAATTTAGTTTAATTGTCTAGAGTGTCTTTGTCCTTAATAGACAGAAAAAAAAAAAAAAAAAAAAAAAGACAATCAGAAGCTAGATCACCTTATACCCCAACCCATCTCATATGAATGGCATGAATCACCCTCCAGAGGTCCTTTTTCTTTCCATCAACTGCAGCAAATTACCTGGACTGCACACCTAATTTTCCAGAGCCATAATATAGATACATATCTCTCCACTCTGAAGGGTCTTCCATGTTTTATTCTAGAGAAATAACTTTGAAATAAGCATGGTCATCCCTATATATAGTGGATATAATATAGCTTAGTTTAGTTAAAACAGAAGGACCTCAATAAATAAGGCCCATAATGTACAAATCTATGCATAAGTAAACAACTTAATAGCTCACTGCTGTTCTAAAGATACCTAATCTGAAATACTTGTGGGATAATGTTTTGAAGAATCAAAATACAGTAATGATTATATCATTTTATACTTACTTTAAGGTTTATCTCTAAGATAAACCACACTCTAAGACAAAGTGTCATATTAAAATATACTTTTAATTTCCGGATGTTCACAGAAGGTGTATTAAAACTTGGGCTTGTGTGTGTATGTGTGTGTGTATGTGTGATCTTTTTGTCCTCCTAAAATTTATGGGAGGTTGGTTTTCTAATCTTTTTCATGAGCTCACATCCTTCCTAGCTTCTTTATTACTTACCCCAAATGTTAATAGTTCTGTCTATTTTTACATGTTTTATATCACATTTTCCTTGTGATTTCTTATCAAGAAGGACAAAAATTTCCCAGTTAGTATACATATTATAAATCCTTTTGGATTGCAGAGACGGCAAGCTGAACATGAGCCAGCAGTGTGCCCTGACAGCCCAAAAGGCCAACTGTACCCTGGAGTGCCTCAGGCCCAGCACCTTACCTCAAGCACTGTGTGCAGTTTTTGGTGCCACAATATCAGAAGGACATAAAACTAGTAGAGAGAGGGCTAATAGGTTGGCCCAACGGAGAGCAACAAAGATAGTGAACGGTCTAGAGGTTGAGATGTGTGATCAGTGTGGTCCCTTGGTTTGCTCAGCCCAGAGCAGAGCAGGCTGATGGCAGGCCTCATGATGGCCTACAGCTTCCTCACAAGGGGAGCGGAGGGGCAGGCACTGAGCTCTGCTCTCTGGGGACAGCGACAGGACCCAAGGGAATGGCATGGAGCTGGGACAGGGGAGGGTCAGGCTGGGTGTTAAGGAAAGGTTCTGCACCCAGAGGGTGGTCGGGCACTGGGACAGGTGCCCCAGGAAGTGGTCATGGCACTGTCTGACGGAGTTCAAGAAGCATTTAGACAACACGCCCAGACATATGGTCTGTTTTTTTTGGGGGTGGTTCTGTGTGGAGCCAGGAGTTGGACTTGATGATCCTAGTAGGTCCTTTTCAACTCAGGATATTCTATGATATTTTGTGACTTTATAAATAGGTAAATCATAGAATCAAAAAATGGTTTAAATTAAGGGATATTTTAAGGGATAATCTAATCCCAACACTACTGTCATTAGCAGGGACACCTCCCACCAGACCAGGTTGCTCAAAGCCCCATCCAGCCTGGCCTTGAGCACCTCCAAGGATGGGACATCCACAGCTTCTCGGGGCAGCCTGTGCCTGTTCCTTACCGGCCTCAGAGTAAAGAACATCCTCCCAATATCCGATCTATATCTACTCTTTTTTAGTTTAAAACCATTCACCACTGTCCTATCACTACACTCCCTGATAAAGAGTCCTTCCACACCTTTCTTGTAGGCCCCCCTTTTAGGTACTAGAAGGCCGCTATAATGTCTCCTCAGAGCCTTCTCTTCTCCAGACTGAGCAAACCCAACACCCTCAGCCTGTCTTTGTAGGCGAGGTGTTCTAGCCCTTTGATCAGCTTTGTGGCCATCTTCTGGACTCATTCTAGTAGGTCCATGTCCTTCTTGTGCTGGGGGCCCCAGAGCTGAATGCAGTGCTCCAGGTGAGGTCTCACGAGAGCAAAGCAGAGTTGGACAATCACCTCCCTTGCCTGGCTGACCACACTTCTTTTGATGCAGTTGGCTTTCTGGGCTGCAAGTGCACATTGCCAGCTCACATCAACCAGCCTTCCCAGGTTCTTCTCCTCAGGGCTGTTCTCAAGCCATTCTCCACCCAGTCTGTACTTGTGCTTTGGATTGCCCTGGCCCAGGTGCAGGACCTTTCACTTGGTCTTGTTGAACATCATAAGGTTAGCACAGGCCCACCTCCCAAGACTGCCCAGTTCCCTCTGGATGGCATCCCCTCCCTCCAGTGTGCTGACTGTATTGTGCAACTTGGTGTCAGAGGCAGACTTGCTGAGGGTGCACTCAATTTCACTGCCCATGTTACCAACAAAGATGTCAAACAGTGCCAGTCCCAATACCAATCCCTGAGGAACACCGTTTATTACTGAACTCCATCCGCTTAGACATTGAGTCATTGACCGCAACTCTTTGAGTTCAGCCAGCAAGCCAATCCAACGTTATATGGACTATAGAATAACAGATCATGTACTGTAAAGACAGGAGTTACACTCAGGAGTTACACCTTCCCTGGTGCAAGAAGAAAGCCCATGGAGAACTGTGCTTCACTCTGAACAAGTGAACAGCTGGGGTGGGACAATGTCAATCTGCACCAAACCTTTCCACTGAGCTTTAGCAAGAACCCCAGCCTTGATCCTGCCTAACCGATCACTGGAAAAGCTTGGCTTTGTATAAGGTTGCACATGCAGGATATGATTAAGGTGCAGAAGTGGGGTCAGTTAGGGGTGACTGAGCTGAGCACTTCATTTTTAGCCTACATGTACCCGTTTCCACTGCTCTCTCATTTTGGGGTGGCAAGATCAACTCACCATCATGCATTCAGTTTTGTGATTACTAGTTATATCCATACCTTGGTTTTGTATTGCTCGGATTGGAGTGACATTTGACCTTGGCTGTTAGGAAAAACACTGCTAGCAATAACTTAGGACCTTATTTTGCAAATTTTCTACTCGAATGAGGACTAATTCTACAGGTTCTTTTACAGGCTTGGTTCTTTATGATACGGCAATGTAAAAAATCCACTCATCTCCAGAGTTTGTTTCCCAGAGGCCTGAAAAACTACATCTTGGAATTCATCTTTACTCATTGACATGCTGCATTATCTAAGCAATAGCCTCAAATGCATGTCTTGGAGGTGGTAGCCAAAATACAATTGGTAGACCAAGAGTATCCTGCGGAGCAGAGCAAATTTGGGTGGCAAGGGCAACACCTACCATAGGGAAGTTATATTTTCTTAAACCTCAGGAAAAACTTACATAGCTCCTTATAATTCAGTCTTTGTAGCCTGTTTTATGCATTCCTAAATGCACCAGGCCCGGTCTCTGTTTGCTCACACAGATCTCCCATTTTTGAAACTAGGCCTGTAAGGTATGAATAAGCTGGAACTGGCTTGTTTTCATTTGCAGTTCCAGGTTTCATACCAGAGCTTCAGGGGATTAGCAAGGTGCCAGGCTATATGGATAACAAATTCTTGCATTATTGGTTTCATTTTCCAGTTTTAAGACAGGAGATTTCTTTTTCCTTCCCTTCCCTTCCCTTCCCTTCCCTTCCCTTCCCTTCCCTTCCCTTCCCTTCCCTTCCCTTCCCTTCCCTTCCCTTCCCTTCCCTTCCCTTCCCTTCCCTTCCCTTCCCTTCCCTTCCCTTCCCTTCCCTTCCCTTCCCTTCCCTTCCCTTCCCTTCCCTTCCCTTCCCTTCCCTTCCCTTCCCTTCCCTTCCCTTCCCTTCCCTTCCCTTCCCTTCCCTTCCCTTCCCTTCCCTTCCCTCTCCCTCTCCCTCTCCCTCCTCCTCTCCCTTCTCTTCCTCTTCTCTTTTCTCCTTTCCACTGATGGAAATCCAGTTCGCTTTGCTGAAAACAAGGTTCAGCCTAATGTAAGGAGAGTATGATTTTGAGAAACAATTTTTCTTTAAACACAGCATAATTCATATGAACGTCTTCCACCTCCTATGATAGCATTTCTGTCATTCAATTTCCTGCTTTTCCTTCATCGCTTTGTTGTACTTGGTGTAACAATAAGCAGCTGAATATATCTGTCTTTGGATGGATTCATCTCTTCAGGCTGTTTACAGATGAGACTTTTTTTCTCCCGTCCAAAGCTTCTATTCTACACTTACTTTTTAGGGTCATCCTGTAGCCATTTGACAGAGGCTGGTAAGGAGTTTCTCTGGGATGGTGTATTGTCCTCATTCTACACAATGTGGCAAGTCCAAGCATTTTAAACTACTTGCCAATTTTACATGTCTGAAGTTAAGAGTGATGACTAAGTCACCTTTAAGTGACAGAACTGATCCTAAGCCACTGATTCAACCCAACATAGCATTTTTTTTTTCCTCAGTAAAGAAGCAGAATTCAGCCTGGCATTACGATTAGCTACTCTTCTATTCAATGTCTCCTTTTCCCTAAGCATACAAAGTTGTTTTCATGTGATATGGAGAGAAAAGTTTAATAAATCACACAAAAGCACTGTTTTCTACTTCATATTTTTCAAATAAACTCTGCAGAAAACCTGGGTAAACAAGGCTTTTTTTTCTTTCTTTCTTTTTTTTTTTTTTTTTTTTTTTTTTTTCCCTGAATCAGGTCTTGTTTATAAGAAAATGAAATGTTCCCCCCAGATTACTGATGAATAATAAATCGCGTTACTTGCTCTAGGTGTATGACCTTGCAACATTCATTTCTGTTAGCTGTTTATGTCTTATTTTATTCTGGTTTGTTACTTGCCTGTGGAGAGGCTTTTCTTACATTTTATATATTTTGAAAGAAACGGTGTTTGTGTGCACACTTAATAAAAAATTGCTGTCATTCTACCCAATATACAGCAAGATTTTACTAAGACAAAATAGGTCAGAATCTCATTTCTTGATATGGCAATTAACATCTAGATTAGCATGTTGCATTTTTAACCTTCAGAATTTTCTTCATACAAAAGTAAATCTTAAGTTTTGTCATACCTTATAATTGCTCTGACAAAAACATTCACAGTGACATGAGTGGTGGCTTTGGCTACCAAGACAGATTTTCATAATAATGAGTTTTTTCCTGTAGGGGGCTGTGAACTGCTAATTAGCATCTATGACCCAATATTCTCAGCAAATAAGAGTAATAGCAGTAATTTCTAGCTTTATGCAGGGTGCAAGTCTAATATTACCAGCACTTCTGTTTCATTTGTAATTAACTGCAAGCAATTATTATAGAGTCAAGGAAGTATATCCTAATGCTCGTAGGTAATAAAAAAAATTGAAATGATGTTTGTAAAACTCATATGTTTCATGCTGGGTGCACTGATTTCTTTTAGAGAACTGTGATTATGTGCCTATCAATTAAAAATTCTTCTTGAATGTTTCTTTACATTGATATGCTTTTGAATGTTGATGTATAAGTAGCTCATCCTCAGTTTCTCTTCCTTTTTAAAAATGCTATCCTTGAAATTTCAATTAATATTTTGACTGCAAGACCATGATGAATACTTAATCTGGCTACTCAACCTCAACATAAGATTTAGACGGTACTGAAAGAAATTGTTTACGCTTGATTTTATGAGGTCTGTAGCTTCGACCTATTAGAACTGTGACCCACAAGGCTGGTGACAGTGTTTGCGTAGCATCACTGACTTTCCTAAACAAAGATTAAACCTGATGTTTTTTTTAGTCAGTAAAATAAGGATTTCATCAAATTAACTTAATTTTCACTGATTTTATTTTATTTTATTTTATTTTATTTTATTTTATTTTATTTTATTTTATTTTATTTTATTTTATTTTATTTTATTTTATTTTATTTTATTTATTTTTCATTGGGAACAGTTATGAAATAGCAGCTAAAGGTGGTAATTTCATAGTCACTGGAATGGTACTGTGCCTTGTCTTTGCTTTGAATATAGGCCTGGGCTGTTTACTCAGAAATCTGATTTTGCTTGAATGTCAGGCTTTGTATGAAGGTGGATTTTTTTCCCTAGTTTTGACAAAGCTTCAGATGTTGTCTCATCTTCTACATTTGCAAAATGCACTTATCTTTTAGGATCTATGATGTTTAAACAATTTTAAACATATGTGGACATAGAATTTTCCTGGACCATAAAAACCATAGTGCTGATTCTAAGGGGCTTGGCATGGCTTCGGCTATGATTCAGTTCAATGAAGTTTGTTCAACATTTCTTAGGACTGTCATTCAAGAGATCTGGAAGGCAATGAGTTGATATCTTTACAGAAGTCACGGACTGTGAAAAAAGTTATAGGCTTAATAAACAGCTTTTCATCACACATAATGTCATAATGACTCATTTGTGCAGCTGGTTGAAAATAAAGCTGAAGGAGGTGAATGGAAAAAAAATATTTTTTGCTTCATGTTAGTTGTTTCTTTTTTTCAAGTCTCTATCTATCCCACTAACCACTGTTGGTATTGCACATAGCAATACCTCTTAATTAATCCATCCAAATGCACTTATCTGAACATAAATGAGAAATTGTCCAAAGTTCATCCTGCCAGCCATCACTAGGATCTCTAACAGACTCTGTTTCTTTTAATCATTGAATCAGTTTAGACCAGATTCATCAAACAGACTAATTTATTTGGTCAACATGTCAGTCTGAAAATATGATAAAATATATTGATTGCATAACAACCCATGCTGACATCCATCTATCCAGAAGCCTAGCTCCAAGACCAGTTTCACAGCTTCCTGTAATATACATTTAAACAACTCCTTGTACTTTGTATCACAGATTTTCTTATTGGTTATTGTCTTCGGTCATGTGCCTATTATTTATTTCTAATTGAGTAATTAATTTGGCCATACTCATAAAATTAGCAAAAGTTTGCCATTGTTGTTTTTACCTGGTACTACTATATTTTGACTTTTCAAGCCATGCACCTTTATCATACAGTAACAGACATTTATTTTTGAAATCACCAGCTGAGAAACAGAGCAGTTATGGATTACATGCAACTGATGCAACTGGTTAAAGCAACTACACCTACCCAGGCAGAATTTTGGTTGATGCACTTACCTTTAAAGATACATCCTACATTATCTCATCACCAGTCTGCATAATGTTATCAGCACTCTTAGAAAACATTTCCAATGGTCTATATCTGCAGAATAGGCAGTATCCTTCTTGCAGAAATGGTCTGGGATTAGAGAAATTAAGAGAGATCAGGTCTAGTCCAGTATTATAACCTGTGAATGAGAGGTTCACCTTAGAATATAGCATCTGTAACTAGAATATAGCATTATGTAACTATAATTTACTTGAATATCTTTGTTTTGTTGCCATACATTTGAAAATGCTATCACAAAGTTCAATGTTTAGCAAGTTTCATGGGAACGGTTTCTTGTCCCTAATGTACTTAATATTTTTATTTATGACCTGGAAACAAATATTAACTCTATTAACTCTTCAGTGCTGAAACTGCTAGGCTGCCAAATGATTGGGAAAATAAGTAAGCAGTCAAGAACACCCTTGACATTGCATGATATTTGGCTTCAAATATCACAGTATGAAATCAGTCTAGGTGTCAACATGCAATGCTGTTGCAAGAAAGAAAAGGAATTTGTGGATCTGTAAGAGAATGGTTAAATTATTTCAGCATATATTTTCATTTAAATCTAAGCAAATTTAAATATGACCTGCCAAGTACAAAAAAAAAAAAAAAAAAAAAAAAAAAAGGCTGGGCAGAGAATAGATTGAGTGCAGCCCTAAAGAGAAGAACCTGGGAAGGTTGATTTCAAGAAGGAAATCTTAATGACACAGGAGCGGTCTGTCCCCACGTGCCCAAAGACAAGCTGGCATGGAAGACCGGCCTGGTTGAACAGAGGATTGTGGCTTGAGCTTAGGAGAAAAACGAGGGTTTGTAATCTTTGGAAAAGAGGGTGGGTCACTCAGGAGGAACATAAGGATGTTGCAAGGCTGTGCAGCGACAAAATTAGAAAGGCCAAAGCTCATCTGGAGCTCAATCTGGCTACTGCCACTAAAGACAACAAAAAATATTTTTACAAATACATTAATGCAAAACGGAAGACTAAGGAGAATCTCCAGCCTTTACTGGATGTGGGGGGGGAAACTTAGTTACAAAAGATGAGGAAAAGGCGGAGGTGCTTAATGTCTTCTTTGCCTCAGTCTTTAGCAGCAAAACCAGTTGCTTTCTGGATACCCAGGACCCTGAGCTGGTGTAAGGGGATGGGGAGCAGGATGTGGCCCTCACTATCCATGAGGAAATGCTTGGCGACCTGCTACAGCACTTGGATATGCACAAGTCGATGGGGCCAGATGGGATCCACCCGAGGATACTGAGAGAACTGGCAGAGGAGCTGGCCAAGCCACTTTACATCATTTATGAACAGCCCTGGCTATAGGGGGAAGTCCCTGTCGACTGGCGGCTAGCAAATGTGACGCCCATCTACAAGAAGGTCAGGAGGGTAGACCCGGGGAACTATAGGCCTGTCAGTTTGACCTCAGTGCTAAACTCATGGAACAAATTATCTTGAGTGTTATCACATGGCACTTACAGGGCAACCAGGTGATCAGGCCCAGTCAGCATGGGTTTATGAAAGGCAGGTCCTGCTTGATGAACCTGATCTCCTTCAATGGCTAAAAACAAAGTGTTCAGCTCAGTCACCCCTAACTGACCCCACTTCTGCACCTTAATCATATCCTGCATGTGTAACCTTATACAAAGCCAAGCTTTTCCAGTAATCGGTTAGGCAGGATCAAGGCTGGGGTTCTTGCTAAAGCTCAGTGGAAAGGTTTGGTGCAGATTGACATTGTCCCACCCCAGCTGTTCTTGCAGACATAGAGTGAAGCACAGTTCTCCATGGGCTCTCTTCTTGCACCAGGGAAGGTGTAACTCCTGAGTGTAACTCCTGTCTTTACAGTACATGATCTGTTATTCTATAGTCCATATAACGTTGGATTGGCTTGCTGGCTGAACTCAAAGTGTACAAGTCACTACCACCATTTTATCCATCCCGTAGCTAAAATCAAATTACATTAGTATGCAGGAGAACATTTTTCATCTAATGAAAGCAATATGGTTTTAATACAGTGGATTCTATAGCTGATTTATCTCCCCCAGATTTCTTTCAGATTCATCAATATTAGAATTCTTAACCCAAGTTAATTGATTTTCATGTAACTTATGTTACATGAAAACAAATCTATGAAGGTACTTCATAGGTGCTTCACAAATGCTTGTTCCTCCAAGGATTTGTTTTATAGTTCCATTTGATTGTAACAGAACTTGTCTGTGTTCTCAGATACATAGAATGGGTCACAGTTAAGGCTATATGGATTTTTGGAGCTAAAGAACTTTAGAAGTCAACCAAAGAGAGGGCAATAAGGACATTGTTTCTATGAATTTGAGTACATAATTATGAAAGCCTTGAAAACTTCCTAAGACAAAACATCTTTAACAAATCAAAGGAGAGTTTTCTGCCTCTTTTAAAGGAACTTAATGCTAAAAAATCAAGTTGTGTCTACCCTGGAGGACAGTGTATTAACTGCAGAACTAGTCAAATAGTTACATCCTGAGAGAATAAAGAAATCTGAGCAACTCAGAAAACAGATTATTTTAGCTATATTCTCTGGATTCTTTACTTTTCTTAACACCCATTTAACTCCAGTAACAAATGAGCACTGATGAGAAATGATGTCTTTGTTAAAGATTCAATACCCCTTGAGAGCTCCAAATAAGCATCTGAAATTCCCCAAGAAAGTTCTTCCACAAACAAAAGGTTAATTACATTTTAGTGGGTATCTCTGGGTGAAGGCTATTTTTCTGCCATGCAATTACAATAAGAGTAAATTGAAGGGTTTCAGGATTTCAGGGGTTTGACTGATGTGTTCATTAATTCACCTTTTCAAACTGAGGAGGAATCAAGTTTTAAATATTTTATTAATCATTTGCATTTTTCTTGAGGTCATTTTTCTATTGTTCCTTTGTTTGATTGATTGGTACCTGGTGGCTGGATCAAGATACCAAAGTCCTTTTTTTTTGGTCCTGATTTTTTAAAGAAAATAAGTTTGTGTATTCAAAGAGTTGGGATGGATTTTTTCTTGCATGTAACTCTTGAAATGTTTGGCTGCTTTCAACCAAATTGGACAGAATTGTGAAGGTTTTGCATAAGTTCTGTTCCAACAGCTTCTGAGAAATTAGGTGGCCAGGTAGGAAAGGGAAACACTGTTAATACTGTTTATACCCAAATGCAGGAAAGGCTGCATTAAATTTTTTTTTTTCCTTTTTTTTTCCTTTTTTTTTTTTTTCTTCACACTGAGATTTCACACTGAGTTCACACAGAAAACACAGACAAGGTGTTACCAAAATCACCTCCTGATTAGATACCAGAGACTGCTTTGAGGGATGCAAATCTGTAGGAAACCAAACTGTTATCTGTGATGCACACACGCCTGTTTGTTTTTTCTGGGGGGAGAGGGGCAGGGGAAGGATGACCCAAAAGAAAAGGAAAACAATACATGGACAATGGGATTACAGTTCATATGCTCATCAGCTGACAGATCTCAAGCTCTAAAATAAAAGTTACTTTCCCTCAGGTAAAAACTATGCAACACCCACATTAGACTTCCCACCTAGCAACTTGGTGCTGAATAACGGAACATCAGCTGGCGCTTGCACATTATGTGAAGTTGCTACATGAGGACGCGTACATGGGTGAAGTTCCCACTTAGATCTGGCATAAAGCCAACCACCATCACATCTGTCACAGCTGTGGGTTTAGTCTGTGGTCAGGGTCTCACTTACCATTTCCTGATGACAGTCTTCAGGTTAGCATATCATTAAGGTGATCTGGCAGTTCTCCCTCCAATTTCATCTGCTGATTGCTTTGACAAAGTAAACAAAAAGAATTAGTTCGTTCTCCAGGTAAGGTTGATATATCCATACATGAGTTTGCTCCTGCTGCCTGTGTCTACAGAGAAGAGCAAGTCTGACTCATTAAACCACTGAAAAGCCAGTCAAAACACAGGTCCTCTCCAACTATTCCTTTTTCCCCCTAAGAATTACCTACATGTCTAGAAACATAAGGATGCTTGTGAGCAAGTAGCTGCAGAAGAGTCACATAGGAGAGGTGACTGCCCAGGAATACTTCAGGTGATCAGTTTGAGCCAAGGAACCAAAGAAATAAGTGATGGTATTCAAGAACAGAAGAGCAGCATCAATACTTTCAGAAATCAGAGTCTAATGTTCTGGGAATTGTACTAACATACAGTAAGAGTAATATTAAAAATCATTCATCTTCTTTAAAGTGCAAGAAGCAATATTTAGGTAACAATCATGAGATCCTTCCATTCTGCACCAATTTGCTGACTTCCCTGATTGGGTGGCCTGGGAATGTCTGGCATTAGTCTGGAGAATCTTCAAGCCTAGACGTGGAAACCTACATCTGAGGGGATCCCAGAGGGGACTCTTCTGAAATCACTTCACTCAGGATACATTTGCTCCAATTTTCTAAGCAAGTGGCTTGGAGGAGGTCCCAGGCTTGTGCCAGTCCCCAAACAGCTTACTAAGTCTCAGGAGGAGGAGATGCCAGTAAAAATTATGTCTGTTTTCCAGACCATGGGCTCTGATTGAGGGAAATGTTTAAATGTGTGCTTTCAGTAATAGAGAAAACTAGCATATAGCAACATGCTGCCCTGTGTGGCAGGAACACAGTCCAACTGGGCTGGATTCTATGAGGGATGAGATGTTTTTCCTAGGTAGTGCTTCCTTTTGTTCACTAAAAGCCGAGAGTTGAAGGGAGGGAAAAGGGAGAGAGGAGTTACTGGCTCTCCCTTTGAAGATGTTAAAAGATCATGTTTTGATGTTGCATTTTGAAATAAGAGGATTCCCTTTGACACTGTAAAATGTGCCGTAAAAATGACACTACTATTTATTGCAAAGCATTAACAAAGACTTTATGTCTATTATTTAACAAATGAAAATGTTAGCTATCTACCGCTCTCTTGGCGGAGTTATGTGGAAATTGAAATCTATGACTGTCCTTTACCAACTTAAGTCCACATGGTTCACTTTCATAAGGATCGTGGAAAAAAAGAAAGGCACCAGTGTAAAATACTTTATCAGATGCTGACCTTCTGGCATGAAGTCAGAACCATCTTGTGGGAAAATGAATAATTCTTAGCTCTCAGTCTCATTTTTCCTGATGCTGTTCATAGACTTGTTCTACCTCCCTGCTCTTGCTAAGCTTTTATTTCATGCAGGACTTGCAAAGGATATCAGGCGTCCATTACATTTATTCCCTTATGTTTTTACAGATACATATATAAATATACATACATAAACCCCCAAGTCTAATAATTAGTTCTCCTTATGGCAGCATGAGCACTTGTTCCAACTCAGTCTGCTGAAATCATTAAAAAAGTCTCTCTGCCAAGTGAAGCCATGTTTAGTCAAAAACTTTTCCTAATATATCTAAAACAAAACATACACAAGAAGTACATAAGCCTGAACAAAGCCTCCAACTGCTAAAAGACAAGAAAGACAAGAACCATCCAGAAGAAACCAAGTCTTGGATTCTATTTTATCAGGATGTATAATTTTTCTCCTTGGTGTACAAAAGTCTCATCAGAGACTCCAATCAGATTTATAGGTTTCCCACAACTGTATAAGCAAGTAAGTAGCACTAAAGCAGACTTTGTCTAGCTCAGGACAGAAATTACATTGCAACTGTAAAGGCATAGGAGATTAGTACAAAGTCATTATCAGACACATATTACAAATTCAATATGTGTTGCACATAAAATATGCATGATTTCTCCTTACTGTATATCATGTATCAAAAATATAATGTGTTTCTGAGGCAAGAATGAATTTAAAATGAAATATTTTATTGAGAAAAAAAAAAAAACGCACACCACAACCACTTCTGATATAGGTAAGTGGAATTTAAAATTGAAAATATTTGACAACCATCCATTAAAGCACACTTTGAAATATTCTTAGAATCCAGATTTCCTGCCAGGGAAGTGAAGTAAAGTTAAATATCCAAAGCAGGAAGCTTGCCTGGTAGACACTATTTACCACTAGAAATTTTTATGACATGAAAAGATGATAGTTTGCAAGGTAAACACTCACAGCCTCAAGTCTGTAGCAGTACAGACAGCATGCAAAATGCAAAAGTACACTATTTATTTGCTTGGAAGAGCAAAGAGCATGTCCATTAAAAATAAGATGATAGGAAGTGAAAAGGGCATAGTCTTGGAAAAGTTTGGTCAATATTTTGTGATTGTGTTTTGTTTGTTTGTTTCTTTGTTTTTACTAAAATGAAACTTTCTGGAGGGTTTACCTGTTTTTCTGGTTCTTATTCTAACAGGAATTGCAAGGGTCTGAAAGGGGGCAGAGCAGTTATTCCAGGCACATGTGGGACAGATGGCATATGCCCACCTTGTGCTACATCGCCAGGCAGCATTGGGGCAGAAACCTCAGCTGCTCTATTTTATCCCAAGAGTTGTGTTGGCACTTGATATAAACAGATTCAAGTGCTGCAAAGGGAGAGCTATGAACTTGTAAGGTTGGAACATAAATCTAAGCCAGTTCCTCTTACAGAGGAGTTGCCATAGGAAAATACCCAAAAGGCAAGAGCGAATATGGACTAAAAGTTGCTTCCTGTAAGAGAGCTAGGCAATACTTCTCTATATTAGAGGAAAATTGTTCAAAAAAAAAAAAAAGAGAAACAAACTAAAAGTGCAAAACCACCACCAACAAAACCAACCAACCAACCAAACAAGAAAAGCCTTGAAAGTAGTCAGAGAAAACAGAGAAAAGTAGAAATGGGAATAATTGAAGTGACCACAAGCAAACTGTAGAAAATAAGAATTAAAAATAGAATAGGCCATACAGGCAGCAGTGTCCTGTTCTGGGCGCCCCAGTATAAGAGGGACATGGAGCTACTGGAGAGGGTCCAGCAGAGGGCTATGAAGATGCTGAAAGAACTGAGGCCTTCCTATGAAGAAAGGCTGAGGACTGAGACAATTCAACCTGGAGAAGAGGAGGCTCAAGAGGATCTCATCACTGTCTGCAAATCCCTGAAGGGAGGGTGCAGGTAGGACGGAGCCAGGCTGTGTGCAGTGGTGCCCAGTGCAAGGACAGGAGGCCCTGGGCACAACCTGGCCCCCAGGAGGCTCCCCCTGAGCACCAGGAGCCCTTCTGTGCTGTGCGGGTGACGGAGCCCTGGCACAGGCTGCCCAGAGGCTGTGGGGTCTCCTCCTTGGAGCCCTTCAGCAGCCGCCTGGACGTGGTGCTGGGCACCCTGCTCTGGGTGTCCCTGCTTGGGCACGGGTGGCACCAGCTGGCTCCAGAGGGCCCTGCCAGCCTCAGACACTCTGGAACTCTGTGATTCTGTGTACAGGACATTTTCTTATATCTGTCCCTACCAGTCCTACACTTGTGCCCTCACAGCCCACAGCACAGATATATTTGCGGGGTTACCTGTGATTCTGGGTGTCATTTCCAACCCCCCTCCTCCCCGGCTGGTGCTATTATAGACACATAAGCATGCATCACTTGTTTACCTCTTCCTGGAGTGAACTGATGGAGCCACAACTCCAGAGCACATTGTCCTTCCTGGGGTTGGGAAAGGCTTTAAGTATCACATCTTGTGAAATACATCACTCTGTCAAGACTTGTGTCCGCCTACATAGGAAAGAGTGCTGCCTAAGTGCAGAGGAAGTTAATTATGCACAGAATAATTAATAGCAATTTACTTAGCACATCTATATACTTACTTGCAGAAATAGGAAACACACTTGAAGTGCTCTTGTTAGTTTGAGAGAAAGCCCGCTTTAACCAGTGCTCTTCCACCCACAGGCTGGCAATGCAGGGAAGCTGTGATCAGTGGAATTTGGTCAAATTAAAAAAACAAACAAACAAAAAACCTGATCACTGGGCAGTATGCACCTTAATTGATTTGTAGGTTTGGATTTACAAGTCAGTTGTGTTTTATTAACAAATACATAGGCTTATGCTGTGTGATTGCTCACCCTGATAATGGACTGGGTGCTGGAGAGCACTCGTCCTGCACCATTTTTCTTACCATCTTCAGTCTAAAAGTTAACAGTTCATGTCTCTGAATACTTGTTAACAACCAACTCTCCAAACATGCATTCAGGAAACCTTGGCAGATTGCAGTTGTTCACGGCCTTTGCAGGAATTATCAAAACTGTCAGTATGACTGTTATTAACATAACAATATCAGAAAGGATCCGAGTTACAGCAGTGATGTGAGGCCTGGCCAGAGCATGCTCCCAGTTGTATAGCTCTTACAAGGAGCAGCAATCCTATTATTTTGTCACAGAGGTTGGAACATGTAACTGAAAAAAGCCGAGATACCAATCTCAGTAAATATTTTCCATAAGAACAGGCTTCCCCCCCCTTTCTCTGGAAATACGTATAAGGTGAGAAGTGAATGTACTCTCATTTACAGTGTTGTCTGAGTAATTTTCTTTGCAGATCCACCTTAAATCTTTTTTTTTTTTTTTTTTTTTTTATTCCCTTAAAGCTGCACATCCCAGCTGGCATGTCCCAATCCTATAAACGTCTCAATATAATACACCATCATTGTCTGATGTATGGGCTTCCATTTGGTGCACCATGTCCAAAGAACATTTCTTTATGCTCGAATGACTCATCTATGAGGAGATTAATCTCTCTGGGGGAGAAATTGGTGTCTCTCCTGTGGAAGCAAGTTGCTATGCACACATTAGCTGCAGATCTCACTTGTGCTCTTAATATTCAGGGTACAGCTTCTATCTGCCGTAAAAATCCTTTTGTCCTTTCCTAAGTTAATGCCATTCTTCAGCTTGCAAAGCAAAAGAGAAAATTTAAAGCTAATCTTTAAAATAATACAGTGAGGTAGCACACTCAATGATACCATGCATTTTTAACTTGTAAGCCTCTTTGCCATTCTTTCTGGGTGTCAGGTAGTCTTTCTTACCCTTTTCTTCAGCCTGCATCTCTTTGCAAGAAGATACAAAAGGCTGGCTTCACTAAGTGAAGAGAGCATCAGTGTTGATTTAGATCATTTCTGATTCTCAAAGAGGCGAGGGTTAAGCCTATACCATTTTGATTGCTGGCAAAGCAATATTTAACAGGAAACTTCTGTGTTCAAGATAAATGAAAGCGCAACAAGCATGTATCACTCGATATACATTATCACTTTCTTGTTGGCTAGGAAATAAAACTTCTGTTCCAAATGTTTTCAGCAACATAAAAAACTTCTTGAGAGCTTTCTTACTCCTTCTGTATGCTTGCAACCCCCCATCACATCCAGTGAGCACTGGTAGAAAGTAATAAGGACAAGTAATATTATAGCTAAACTTGCAGATAGATTAATTCACACTGCAAAGTGCAATTTAAAAGATCAAGCAGAGTGTTGCCTGCAAAAGGAGGCCTTATCTAAGGAATTACCTTTAAAGTCACATATTTAGCTTTATGCAGCTTTGTCTTTTATTGAAACCTGTCAAAAACCTGGGGCTGTCAGAGCAACTGCCAGTAAGCAATCTAGAGCTATTAATTAGTACATCCTTGTTTTCTCCACAACAAACATTTTAATTTGTCCTCTAAACAGTGTTCATGATATTAGCCCTTTGCTCCTGCTTTATTTTTGTCTGTGTGATATACATTACACATGAGAGAGTCCTACGTCCATATGTCCACAAATTGCAGTGGACATATGGCAGCATACAGAAAAGAGGTCTTTTACATTTTGCATACAGAAGCCCTTGCAACTATTATCATGGAGACATTACAGCATCCCTTTATGTCATGTTGCTATTTAGTCAAGTTTGTGTCATGTATTTGAACCTTCTCAGCTGGCTTGATTTCTTTTAATTGTAGGCATCGGGTTAGTCTGTTTGTAACAAGCAATGTGTGGAAATTGCCCTAGTAATAATTTCTGCAGCAAACATCATTTAGTTGATCAAGAAGAAATGTTTGTTATAATTGCAGTAGAGAACAATAAAATGTTGTATTTTTAGACATGTATTGAATGTTATTTGTCAATAGTTCTCTACCTGATGAAAACATATATAGGCAGAGAATTGCCAAAGACAACAGAGAAAACAGGCCACAAGAAGTATTTACGTTTCATTTTCTCAAGTGATGTCATCTCATGAAAAATCTATCTATCTTTAAAATCAGTTAAAATAGCAGCTTGGTTTGAGATATCCAGCTTTTTCAATACAAACCATTGGAATTTCATGTAAACAAGGAATATTTTAGGAAGGGATGGACAAAGATTCTGATTTTAAGACATTCAGGTAAAATTAAATCTCAAGGAATAAGTAAACTGTTCCTTCCCAGACAGCCCAAAGTAGCCAGCGCTATTTTTCATATCACTAATAGACACTGATGGGCCATGCTCAGAAGTGATATTTGTATGGGTGTGGAAGCCAGTGGATGTAGATTCACATGGGTAGTGCTGATAGGGAACTTCCTACCCACCCACTATTGTCTTATTCTCAACATTTTCCATGATTTTTATTTTTTCTTTTTTAAATAAATAATTTTGTTCTCAAAATATTCTGAGTGATAAATGAGAAAGCCAGAAGATTATAACTGCATAGGACACATTTTGCACTAAGATATGCTGTAAGGGCAGGATTCAGCTCAGCTCACTCTAGCTGCCTAAAGATATCGGACATGGATTCTTGTTCATGGAGTGTGCTTTTTTAGGCGACTTCAGAGTTCTCACCCATTTTAAGAAGCGAATTGCTGCTGGAGGTGTTTATCTCTCCCCAAAGTCTATAGAAATAATGTAAATAATGAGCCAGATTAATTACCTACACAGCTAACACTGTCATCTTACATTGCAGATGTCAGGCAAGAGGAACCACACTTTCAAGATAAAGTTTCTGTTTCAGCTCTTCTGCTGTTTCTGGTGGCAAAGCAGGGCAAAGGAGGAGAAACATCACTGCACACCTATTACTCCTGCGCCAAGCTGGCGTGGGAGGAAAGACCTGAGAGCCTTAATAGTGCCCAAGCCCTGTGCAGACAGACAGACTGACGACAGCTCTGTGCCTCCCACATTGTGGGTACCTACTTGTAGAAGGTATAACCAATCTGGTTTCCTAAGGTTAAGCAATAAAGGTTCTGAATATCAAGGTTAAGTAATAAACACAAAGCAAAGGGAAAGTATTCCCTCAATTCTTGAATAAAACATTCCAAGAAAGTGCAGTGCTAATGGATTTGAAAAAATAAGCACTATGTAGCAACATCTCCTCAAGCGCAAGTACCGTCGCGCACACTTATTGGTTTAAATTTTATGCAGCTTCACCCCATGCATTTCAGATGAGAGTGATAATGTACCTCTCGGATCTTTTTCCTTCCTTGCTGTAGGTACAAGGGGCTGCTCTTTCCCTTGTGCTTATTAAAGCATTGCCTTCCAAGCAAATGAGAAGGACAGTTGCCAGCTATTATAAGCATGGATTAAAACTACTTTTCATGTGCCCAGTTACAATAGTTACCTGGCAACAAGTATTCCTGTTCCTTTCTTCTCCCCAAACCTGTACTGTATGCAAACAAACAAGAAAAAAAATACAACCCCAACAACAACAACAAAAAATACCAAAAGCAACAACAAAAACAATAAAACAACCCAACACATGAGTACTGAATTAATTCCCAAACTGAATGTAAAACCCCTAACAAGGTGAATTTCTTGGCTGGGATTGGGGGTGTTGCTCCATCAACTCCAGCCAGTTCCACAAGGACCACACTGCTTCCAAAGGCTTTCCATTGCTTCTCCCCAGCTATAGGTCTATGGTATGGCAATAAAAAGCATGACAGCAAGAAGGCAGGATAAGTGATCAGGAATGAATCTGAGGTCCTGTTAGCTTTAGAGAACCAGGTCAATGTTTGCAGTCCTCACCAGACTGATCCCAGCGTGTAGCTGCCTGTTCTCACCCTTCTGCCTAATTCATTAGGCTTTAACCTGGTGGACTGTGAATTTATAGGATGGTTATAGCAGAAAAGTGCACGGGCTCACTTGTGCAATCCAAATGATATGCAGACTCTCCAGTGGATTGGTATCTTACATGACAGCATACCTAGATGAGGACCTAGAGCAGGTCTTGTGATTTCACTGGTCAATCTTTATGCTTTAATCAAGAGAAAGAAGTTTTTTGTTTGTTTGTTTGTTTAAACCTGGTAAGACTTTAGCTTCCTGTTTTTAAGATCTGAGAAATACCATGATGTAAAACAGCCACAGCCTTCCCATATTTGCTTACAACTACAAAGAGGACTCTAAGGCTGAGGACAGAATGGGAGTCCAATGTACCTACATTTAAAAAGTAACACAAACCAATAAAAAAAATAAATAAATAAATAGAGAAAATCAATCCTGTTGCAGACTGAGCACAACATACATGCCAGAAGGTTCCTTAAAGCTTTGGGAGTGTGGGACAGAACAGGCTCTTATCTGCTGTCACATAATAAAAGTGTGTTTGTGCGCAGTTGTACAGACATACAAATATAAACAGCAACAAGCATCACACCCTTATGTCCAAGCTTATTCCTCTTCTCACACAAGCCCAGAGATCCCATTTCTAGTCCCAAATGTCTTCGTTTTGTAGCAATTTCACTTGGACAGATGAGGAGGCAGGTAGCCAAAGGAACCTCAGTGGGAAGGAAGGTTAAAGACTTGCCCATCACAAGTTGCCTGCACATCAGAAGGTAAACCCCCCTTCTCTGCTGACATGTGTTTAGATGATTCTTCATGAACTCCAGTTTGGTCCAGTGAATGCTTTTCTTACCTAGTCTATACCTGTAGCCTACCACTTCTTAAATCAATTCATTGTTAAAATTGCAGTTTTCATTCAATTTTCTCTCCACTACACATCTGCAAAACAGTCCTTCTCTTGGGAATTGTAGGAATTCCAGTTTCCATAGAGTTTTGTATCTCCCTTTTTCCTTCATTGCATTACCTCTGTCCTTTTATATTATTTTCTATGTTGTCAATCTGTCTTTTGCATCCTTTGGACAGTCTCTTTGCTCCCCTCTTTCTTTCCCACTGCCCGGAGTCCCTATAAGCTTTTTTTTTTTCCTGCTGTCTTTCTCACACCTTCAGCATCCTTCCTCCTCCACAGCTGAATCCATCTTTTGTTGCCTAGTGTTTGCTTTTCTAGCCACTCTTCTCAGTGAGTTTCTGTTTCCTACTGCCATCCACAGCTCGTGGACAGGCACTGATGGGATGCATGGACATCATACACCTATAGGCATTTCTGGGATGACATGGACAACCCCATTGCATACAGCAAACCACAGAAGGCTGGCAATAAATCTCAGCAACATCACTGACATCCTCAACCTGACCCCTAAGGTGACGCTTCCCTATACCAAGTTGTGGAGCCCAAACACCTCCAGCATGGTGAGTAGGCAATGCAAGGGTGCGTGGGGAGGAAAGGCATCCTACCTCACTGCTGCACTATAATCAGAGGGCAACGACCTCACAGCTGCGAACTATAACCTTTTAGAAAGTGTTTAATGCAGTATTTATGGCAGCCATTATTTTTACAGTGTTTCCACTTTGAGAAGGAAAGCAGAGCAAAATGTTTACAACAGCTTAGCAAAATGAACCCCACAGGTGAGGTGAGGCACGGTGCTAACCTGGGCCGGCCTGGACCACCTGGCAGCCCATGACCTGCCACCGATGGGAATCAAAGTGGGGTGGTGGAAATGGGCCCTCCCGTGGGAAGGAAAAAGTTTCTTCCCCTGCTTCAGTTTTTGTTTGTTTCTTTAAGGAACAGACTGTTTCAGAAAAATAAACACACAGAAGGGCTCAGGGCAAAGATACATTTTGTATACAGCTTTAATGAAAACATGTTTTTCTTGTTAACACCTTGTTATATCCTAAAATCACAATACAGAAAAAACTGTGAATAAGGCTGTGTGCATAGACATCTCAGATTTTTAATGAAATTCACCAACCAGCAGAGCTTCCCCCACATGCCTGCCGCTACCACAGCACCCACAGCTCTCAGCTTGCATGAACCTGGCTGATGCTACCTGCGTGCTCGCCCTACCCACGGCAAACGCTGCTCCAGAGCAGGTTTGTGGCACTCAGCTGTCCTCACCAGGTTGAAAAGAGCACGACAGTGAGATGTAGCTGTCAAAACTGCACGGCGGGAATGTTATTTTTCATTAGTGACCGCTCCTGCAGTCTAACAGTGTGCTTTTGTACAAGTCAGAAGCATCAGTCTGTAGGCTGGCTAAATACGAGAATCTCTCAGCATCTCATAGTTTGGGATGGGTTTTAGCTTCTCCACATTATGATTAATCCATTGGCAAGCCAACACCATCAGAAGCTTTTATCCAAGCAACTTCACAAAGCCCTTTAGGACTCAACGTAGTGTGCTCCATCCAGGAAATGATATTTTTGCTTCAAAAGAATTCAGCAGCCTCTCTCCAAAAAAAAAAAAAAAAAAAATCATAATTTAATTCCCTGCTGAAACACATTGGCCAACACTGTCGGGTTGCAGGTACTCAGGATTCACAAGACAGTTGCTGCCATGCCGAGCTTGAGAGGAAATGCCATTTGAAAAAAAAAAAAAAAGAAAAAAAAAAAAAAACGTGACACTCTTCTCTGATAATGACCCTGCAGCGTCTCCGTTTGCTGGTAACGATGCAGAGCCACATGTCCCTGCCCACCATGAAAGAGCGACAGCCATCACAGGAGGGCTCTGGGGACAATGCTGACGCTGGCGAGCAGGCGCTGGCTGTTCCACAGGTAATGAAACCCTGCTCGTAACGAGGAGATGAGGAAAGATGGTACTGGAAATTGCTGGCGTTTGAACTCTGAAACTCAGTGGGAGGGAAAAGAGAAGCAGTTTTTGTGAAAGACCTTGTTCTCGGGAGTTTCAGAGAAAAATCTGTGCTTTGGGGCACCTGAATGCTCACTCAGATCAACTCTTGAAGAAGAAGCTTGAATTCTCTCATATATTTAGTGGCAAGAGGGGGCCTTAAAACAGGATTTAGACCCACTTTATACCACATTATTAATATCGAGAAGCCATAAAAGACCTTTAGTGTTATTGCAAATCAGACTTCAAATCCCAGCAGAGTACAAAAACTGAGGCTGAACTAGAATATCAAACCCAGACTTTGGAAAAGTTCAGAAACGAATCTCCCTTTAAAACTCTTACTCGGTTTAGAAAATAGATCAGTCATTCAATATGTGAGCTTCAATTCCCTTCAGCTTTGGGGAAATTCTCCCATTGATCTGGACTCCTCACACAACTTAACTTCTGCATAATAATTACTGTCCTTGGAACATCACTGCTTTGCTGTTTGTAAGGACAAAAGAAAACTACCACAGATTTGATAGGAATCAAATATTTTGTTTCTCGAAAGGCTGTGGGTCTTTCAAACCTGAGAGAGGGGTGCCTTTGGCACAGACGGGTAGGTGCGATATACCCACTCACTCCCACTACTTCATTACAGATAGGGTAGCATTATTTTTAGCACAGCAGGTGTAGAAAGGGGTGGTTTTGAAAGAAAGAAAACAAAAATAATGAATTATTTATGCAAGTTAAATCAAAATATGCTCCATATAAATGTTTAATCAGGTTTTCACCAACTTCTCTCCATATGCTCTGCCTTGCTCAACAGCAGATTTCTAATGGAATCACTAAATATATTTTAATAGCTCTGTACATAGTATTATACAACTCAACTCCTGCCTATAGAGTTTTTCATTCAGAGGAGCCACAGTAAGATATGCAATAAACTTGCTCTGAGTTGGCAGTTAAAGAAAAGCTTCAGTAAAAACTACTTTGGGATTTTCCTCCTACAGCCTATTCACCACAGGAAAACGTTACGGGGGATGACACAGATGCAGCATACGTAAGTGCAATCATTGCAGCAATGCACATTGGGGCAGATGAAGGCATTTGTCACATTCGAGCAATACAAGTTGCATTTGCTTGAGAACTTGCTGGTACAGCTAAGAGAGAGGTTGCCCTGGTTCTTGCATTAGAAGTCCTGAAGGCACCAAAGCCTCCACTGCTCTGTATCCATCTTTCAAAGGCATTCACATGAAATCAAAGCCAGTTTGTAGCTTATTACACCTGGCTTGCTCAGTTACCAGCTTTTACCCTGCAGGCCATGTTTTAAGAGCTCCTGAGAACTAAAAGCCAATGTCCTGGGTGGGCTGTCAGTCACCACCAGAGACAGCAGCTCCCCAACTAAACTGAAATACCTACAGAGCTCTTCTTCCTTTTCCAGAGTACCAAAAGGCTGAAATGCAAGCTCTCCCCCCCGCCCCCCAACCCTCCACCCCCTTCCAGAACATAAGCAATTCAATACCCCAGCTTTCCCCCAGCACTAGCCACTCTGTTTCTCGTCTTCCTTTCTATACAAAGCAGCTGGTCCCTGCAGATTAACAGGGCCCAGCTGCATCTGGTCTCCAGCCACTTAACCCCTTCTGAGCTGTTTCCTCGCCCTTGCAGAAGAAAACAGGATTGTCTGCTTTCCAGAAGCCTCCTGGGGCTTGAAGTAAGAGCATCCCTACTAGCAAAGATAGTGTGGGTTTTAAATCAGGGAGAAAAAAGCTTGCTACACTCTGAAAAGATTTTTATTTCATGTAATAAGCCCCATGCTTTACAGAGTTTAAAAGCAAGGGCATGAGAGAATTAAGCAGACTTGGAAACAGTAATGTCATACCCCAGTGTACTAAGGATTTATGGATGTTATTTTATAACTTGTTGAGTTTGATGTGGAATGATCTCTGCTCTGTAACTACAGTAATTATTTCGTAAAGTACTCTATTGTTATGCTGTCACCCATTAAGCATGCTGCGTAGTGGTTAAAAAGTATTTAGACAGATTGCACACCTGTATGAAATTCTTCCAGACTTTCCAGAGGGGATGGGAGTCTGCATTCACAAGGGTTTCTTCTTACAGCTTGTGGAATCCTCAGAAACATGAGGTCAGTACTGTGTAGGTATTCGTGATGGTTGCAGGATTTAGTAGCTGTTAGAGAAAGTCACAAAAACTAAACATTAGTAGTTTGTGTATGAAAATGTCAATTTATGAATTTAGCTATATTTGCAATAAAAATATCTTTGCAAATTTTACATTGGCTATTTAAAAAAAAACACCTGTAATCTTATGAATGACATTTGAAATTAGGAGTAAAGATATTAAGGTAGGGTGTGAGAGGGCTTCTTTCTTTTGAAATTTAGTAATTAAGTTTTATTTTTTTTTAATTATTTATTTAACATATCTCTAATATACCAAAGGAAGTGCAGAATAATTATGTCTAGATTAGGAAAATGACAAAGGGAAACTGGAGTTGGAAGGATAAAAATACATTAATTTATACATTTTCTAGGATTGTAAATGCAATAGCCAGTTTTCTCCAAATTTTTCAGGTTGATTTCAATTAATGTTTTGATTAAAGTTTTCTTGGTCACAGTAGCTTTCAGCTCCTGTTCCCACCAAAGAATTTCCTCTTTGGAAGGCTGCTATACCCTTTCCTGGCAATTCTGGTGTGAGACAGCAATCTGCATAATATCAGTTGTATTGCCTTCCAAGTGAGCCATCTAAAGGACACTCAGGACTCACGTAACTGCAACCAGAGCTGTTCTCCAGCTCCCCGAACAGGCACCCAGACAAGCCTGGACGCCGCCAGTCATCATTCCAGACATGATGTAGTTTGGTTTTTGCTGTGATGGAAAGAAACACTTCTCACTGCGTCTGTGTCTCCTCCTTCCAATGACTGGAGGAACTAAGGCCATCCAAAAGCACGAAGCAAGATCTTGCGGCTTAGCCCAGCCATTAAGGCTTTTTGAAATCTCGGTAGGTGCAGAGAAATAGCCCACTGCTCTAGCCCACCTCGAGTGCATCCGGTCTCCGGTGGACTTTCCTGTCTTTGACCAAATCTTAGCAGCTTAACTGTGGGACCCCAGCAGGTCAGCCTGTATCCTCTGGACCAGAAAGTTTCTTCTAACCTCATTTGAGCCAGTATTTTTTCCACATGAGAGTAATGAAATTCATTTCTTTATGATGTGATTCTGACCCCAGGAAGCCCCAGAGCTACAGGAGACAGAGACAGCTGTTAGTCTAGCAGAAACTGCCAGGTTTGTGAAGACCTTGTGATGGACTCAGAACATCAGCAGAAGCAGAGGGCCCAGGGGAAAGACCAGACCTTAGCTGAAGTCAGCCTGAAAGGAGAACAAAGAGAAACAAGGAGAAAGAAGAGTTAAAGAGAAGAGAAAACAGCTAAAAGTCTAACTCTGAGCCAAGGAGATCAGCTGGAGAGTTGCTTGTTTGCACAGGGTGATAGCTGAGCTGGATTAGGGCTGGACTGAATCAAACGTGAGGCAGGAGATTATGGAAGGATCCAGTTAAGTTGGGAGGGGAAGAGGCTGAATATAGGGATGTGTCAAGTGACAGAACATAAACTTTAGAAACTAAGACAAGCATTCGTAGAATTCCAGTATTAATTGTCATATTGACTCCTTTTCTTTCTGTGGTGCTTATAACTGCATTAGCAGATTAACGTATGATATTGCCTGAGTGCAGAGTATGGATTTTTTGCATAAAGCAGGATGGAATCAGATTTGGGGGGGGCAGGAGTGGCATCAGAAATTCCAGTCCAAGTAATCTACTTTTATTCCTGATCACTAAAAAAGATGATAATAATAATAATAATAATAATTCTAGAGTCAGTGCAATATCTACCCACTGATGCCCTGCAACACAATAGATGTCACTCCCAGTGCAGCCTAGGGTGAAGCTGCCTGCTGCTTCCTCTCTAGGCTCATCACCTCCCAGTCCTTATTCATTTTCCATCCTGTAATATTCAGATCAAAGCATTCTTGCCATACTGGCATTTTTCAATGCATAAAGCTTTTTTTTTTTTTTTTTTTTTTTTTTTTTCTTTTCTTCCTTTTTTTTTTAAAAAAAAAAAAAAAAAAGGTTAATAGTTGAAGGTCGCCCTCCCTGGTCTCTCACCACCTCGCCTGCTCAGGACAAGCGCTCGCTGCAGCTGGCACGGGGCCGGCAGCAGATGCACAGGGCTGGGTGCTGCCATTGGGGTGCACCTGTTGGCTTGCCACCATCTGCTAGCCAAAAACGGGACAAAGCCCCACCCCATGCCGGCCAGCTGAAGAGGGCTTAATCTCCTCCCCATGGGTTTTGAGCCGGTGGCCGTGGCACACGCCATACAAAGGCGTGGACCTGCACCTAATCTCCAATCCTTGCAGGGGGCTGCTTCTCATGCTGACAAGAAAGGGCTCTTTAAATAAATCCAGAGAGCTATTACCTGACAAGAAAGCCTCTTATAAACTGCCTTTTAAAAATTATTATTTAAAAAGAGAGAAAGGTATTAGGTTAACATGGATACTAATATTAAGTAAATTAAGCCGCGGCAGTATTTTTTTTGGAGGCTGCTGCTGCTCCTTGCTAAAGGGGTGACTTGTAAGCTGAATAGCTCAAATGCTTGCTTTGGAAACCGTAGGCTTGGTTTAGTGCATGCCATGGCTGTGCCCTATAATTACCTAACCAGTCCCTGTGAATCTGAGCTGCCAAGGCATCACTGCTATACAAAAAAAATCATGCTTTGGGAAGCTGGTCACCCAGGTAGGTTAAAATTATCAAGTTTCCTGCATTAAAAAAAAAAAAAAATAATGTTTAAGCAGGATTTATACAAAAAGTAAAGGGAGTTTCAGAAACTGCCTATTCAAATTTCAAAGCTAGCCTGCGTGAAATACTGCAGACACTAGGACATGACCGACACTGTTTTAGTGTTTAACCTGTAAAGAGTTTTCTAACATTCAGCTTAACAATAGGGAATAGGATGGATGCAAAGAAAACCTGCTACCACTGAACCTTGTGCTGAGCCCTTGTTTTGAAATACACCCAGTTTTGTCCAAGTGCAGGAGCAACAGACTCGACAACTCAGCTGCTGTCTTTTTTATCAGGCGTGAATGCAAGATCCCTCTGTTTCTGAGACCTTGAGCACAGATACTTCATTACATCAGCATCCTGCACTGTTTGCATTTTTCATCTACCTGTGCATTTAAGCCAGATAGGTACACCAGGAGCTCTCATAGACAGAGGTTTGTCTTTGCTATCAGTCATTGTTCTACAGTGACACTCCAATCTTAATTTATTTTCTGTCGTATGCATCAAGTACATTAAAAAGAATAACAGCAAATAAAATTATAACAACAATCTTTTAAGAGCTGCTCGCCACCCCCAAGCACTGCAGCTAGGGTAAATAATTTTAGTAGGAAATATTTTTTCCAAGGAAAATACTGGAAGTTTCATTATTTGAAATATTTTAATTTAGACTTGATAAAGCAATGGTGAATATACAGCGGGGTAATGATCTTACATCCAGAGGGATTACGACTTTTCTATCTCTAAATTTGCAGAAGCTATCTGAAGGCAAACATTGACTAGGAATGTATTAAATTACCGTGAGCAATCCAAATTTTTTAAGAAAGTTAAATATTAAAATATATAAATAAATTACAAGTTTTCCCTTTAAAATATGCACGAGGTAATTCAGAGCAAATGTTAGAACAAGTCCGTCTGCTAAATTAGTCACAAGGTACTAGTGGCTACTTTTCCATTTACGCTAATGATGAGAAATGTAAAAGGCCGGCTTCATAATTCAGTGTTCATTTCAAGAGGTTCCAAGAACACTTATGCTAGATGGGTCTGTCTAGCTAATCAGCCAGTTTCTTCTCTCCTTTTAAGATCGAAACACAATTATAGAACCTGTACTTCCAATCTTTGCATTTTTCCCCCCTGCACTAAAATGTATTTCAATGTAAGGAATGCTGGAGGATGATAGAGTTGAATTAACACCCTTAAACTAAGCATATTGCATTCTCTTAAATCAATGGTTTCACTTCTGCCCTCAAGCAATATGTGATTTGTAAATCTGAGACATGCTACCTTTAGGCAGTAGGCACTCTCTTTAAAAACACGAAAGTAGGCAACATATGGTGGCACTATGCAATATGAAATTGTTCTAAAGATACAAGTTTTCAGCCTCAGTGGTACAAGCCCAATTTTAAATAAAACATAGTATCATATGGTTCCTGCTTAAACACTGCAGTAAAAAAACCTGGCTATATGGTCATCCTCTAAACAACAGAGGGAACAGTTTACATGAGTACGCTTGGAAACCCACTGTCTATAAACAGGCAGTCACCCACTACCTTTCAGTAGATGTAAATACTGAAATATATCAACTTATGTATTTGCGGACCCTTGTAACTTATGGATTTGTCTATTTTTATTTGTATTTATTTTTATTTTTGGTTTAATCACACAAACACAACTGTGGGTATTTTTTGTTGTCAACGCATATGTGTATCTCATAAACTACGCATTCTATGTTCACATTTTTCTACTGCTGAGACCAGCTGGGTCACATTAGTCATGTCAAAGCATGTCAAGGACTATAACATGTAATTCAGTCCAATGTTACGGTGAAGGTGAATCTTTTCCATTATCCATGCAGAGAGGGGATACTGGTATTTTAGCTCTGGGACATGACTTTTTCCTTAAGTCTGCTCTTATCCTCAAATGCAAAAATGAATTCCCAAAGCATAACATAACATTTTAGCCTTTGGTGACAAGGATAGTAAGGAACTCCAAGGAGGAAAATATGTTTTACTATTAATCATCAATGATCTGATATGGTAGTTTAACAATTGATTTGTGAAGGCGTAAAACTGGACTTGGTAAAGAGAAATTACTATTATACTGGTATGTGCACAGGCAGAGCCCAACCTCTATTCCTCTTTTTGTTGTTACAAACCCTGTACAATTTAATTCTGTCTGTAATTTAACCTTGCATGTGCTGCACTTCACTATTCCAGTTTAGAAAACAAACAGGACTCTTCCTTATAAATTATTTTATTTTACATTAAGGATAAAGAGTGTTATGTGGAGACTTCATATACTTCTGTTTTTGCTCTGTAGTCATTATGTATTTTCCCTCCCCCAAATGGACTTCAAAAAGAGGAGTCTGAATGTTCTGCCCAACGACGACTCTAATCAGTCATTAATTTTAAAGGCCTCTTGCCTTTATCAGGTTGTCTCTTAGGCTCAGACTGACTCCTACAGTAGTTTAATATAGTGGTCTTTGGTAGCTGAGGCAGCTGGAATTTATGTTGGTAAGAATGCGATGAAAGAGTCATTGGGGTCTGGACTTCTATAAAGGAATTTTTGAAATTATATGCAGCACAATTGATGGTGCCAAATTAATCTGTTGTCTTTAGCCATAGACAAAGGAAAGGAGAGTAGTGCTAAGTTCCTTTGGGAGCGATGCAATTGGATTAATCAAGAGTGCTTGGTGGATGCATCAGCTTATTTCTGTGGCAACAGTATTCTTTACAGACAAATGACCTCTAGGCTAGTCCTTTGAAACTCGATAGTTAAAGGTGTTGAGACATCTAATTCTCATTGACTTCGATGAGTTTAGACACATCCCTTTAAAATTCTGACTCTTGTCCATGCAATGATAAAAGGGTTAGGGCATGGCTCGCTCTTTTACAGTCCCCATTCTCAGGGACTGAACAATGAAAAATCATAGATAAGAACAATGAAGATGAGATAGAAATGTTTGTCTTTGGGAGGTGATGTGGGTGTGTGTCTGTTTCTCCTGATGAGAAAATGAAAAATTTCTGAATATTCTTCTGTGACCTCAAGACAGTAAAACATCACTGCATGTTTGTGTGCCTCTCCTGCAGCAAGAAGGGCCTCCTCAGGGCAGGCTAGCAAAACAGTGCCCTCAGCTTGTCTAGATCATAGTGCCACTTATGATAATTAGCTAGGACAATTATTCCGGTTTTGTAATTGGTAACTGCCCTCAAAGTACAATAAATATATTGGTTTTATTTAGACTTCCTTTCTTGGTCACTGGCTACATTCAAATCATTTTCAGACATGTCTTGATAGGTACTGGAACCCCTTTCTTTGTAGATTCCCAGTCAAGCATCAACCACAAAATTATCCTTTCTGTGATAGGCTTATACCTGTGTCTCTCCCTTGTGCATCTTCCTTATTTTCAAAATTTCTGCAAGATTTATTTGAATTAGCTTTATAGTTACTAACCTTATTAAAAGCATTCTTACCTAAGTTTTTTGTTGTTGTTTGTTTGTTTTTTAAATCTGCTTCTTCTGCCTAATTTTGCATCTCACTTGTGTATGTAAGTTGCGTAATCACTGTCTGTGACTTCTAACTGGAATTTTGGGAAGTCATCTGGGCTCCTCCTCTTGCACAGCTAGGTACAGCTGTGCTGAAGTGTAATGAGCTGCGAGCTCTTGCAAGAGATATTGATCTTACTCCGTATTTTATTTTACTTGTTATGACACTAATGACACAGGGTTGTTTGCCTGACAAACAGAAGAATGAGATTACACATGTGGACTACGGTCAAAGTAATGCCAGGTAAATATTTTGTCACTACTACTAATAATGACAATTACAGCATCCCCTTCATTTCAGCAGAAATAAACACATGTAAGTCATTATGAAAGAAACACTGCAACTTGAAAAACTCAAAACCAAGAGAAAATTAGACCTCATGTTACAGAAGAATCAGAAAATAACAACATGCTATTCCTTTTCTCCAAGGTTTTGTTTCAACATTATCATGCTTCTGCTTATGGCTTATATTAAAAAGTTTTATAGTTTGACAAACAGACAAATAAAAGATAATTAAAGGAACAGCTCTATGATCCTTTCTGAAGCTGGATAGTTTCTTAGTCTACTCCTACATCTCCTGTTTTTTTTGTTTTGTTTTGTTCTGTTTTTCTGTTCACTTAATGTCTTTTCATAACCTCTAGTATCATAACGATGCTCAAGGATAAAAGAGATTCAAGTTTCAGTATTACATTATGGGGCCCTTTTTGCAGGAGTTAAGATCCAAAGGGAGTCTTTGCTAATTCATAAAGCTTGGACTGTAACTAGATTCATTTCTCAATTAATTAGTGATTCACCCCACACAGCCAATCTAGTATTTAGGTACATATCTTTGGAAAAGTGCCCAAAGGTGGCATACAGTTGCCATGGTTACACCCACAAATATATCAAGTCTACCTGGAAATGACCAACTGTGTTTAGCTGGTCACCTGCACATGCAAACCTTGTGACCTGTAGATACAAAACATTATAACATCATACAAAAACTACACTCACTGTGAATAAAAACAGATGCACAGAAGGTTGCAAAAATCCTGGTTCATTTTAATGCTGTCAGTGGACGTTGTGACAGCCTTTCTTCCTGCTCTTGCCCCTTTCTGCTCACAGCCATGGAAACCAACTAAAACTATATGGCTATTGGACTGTGCTATCAAGATAAGAGAGATGTTTGATGAGATTCTTGAAACTTCAGAGGAAGTTGAACTGTACTTACATTTTCACAACAGGATCAGGTAATGTTTCTGGTATTTCTTGCCAGCAGCTAATAATCAGGTGAAACATGACAATTTTGATTAAATTTATCAGAGCTCTGGGACTGTCCAAATGGGAAAATCAAGCAAATGTAAAATGATTTTAATATAGCAGTAGATACATATAAAATTTGTACATACTTTTATGCAGAACTGGTTTTGACAGAAATACTTTTCAGTACAGAAAATTTACCCATTATTGTAAAGATCTGCCCAAAACCTCAAAGGTGAACATGTCTCCGTGTGGAGAATGCACAGAAAAGAACAGGGGGCAGATTTAGCAAGTCTCCTTCTTTCCGTGCTTAAAACACACAGGACTGCACATGTGAGCTTTATTTCAGACCTCTCATAAATACAGAGCAGAGGAAATGTTCTCATGAACCCCTGCAAAGAGAAGCCATCAAACTTCACCTCAGACTTGTAAAACAGTATCATATGCTTCAGGTACGATGATGTATTCCTACCTGCAAATGTCCTTATGCTGTCTGGATTTCATAAATCAGAGCACGGAACATAGAAAACTGAGATAGAAGAAGCCTGATAAACTGTCCAGTTTACCTCATTTCCACTGTCACATGCTTTCCGCTGTTTTGTCAGTCATGGTTCCAAATGGGCCAAGTGAAAAGGCTTCTCTAATAACCTTGCAATTTTATTCCATTGTTTAATGCACCTCATGGTCTGGGAATTTCCTCTTCTTATACAGCTTGAAGTTTCTCTGCCTTAATTTCATCCAATCATTTCTTGCCCTATCCCCTCTGTACAGGCATAAATACTTAATCTTTCACCTGAGGTTTGGCTCATTTTAACAGGAGTCAAAAGGAACCGAATATTGAATATTTGTATGCATAACAAGAGGATCTAGAATCATTATAGCTAAAGACAATGTGGATTTTGGAAAGGAGATAAAACCTTTTTGAGAATTTGATCAGACTTTTACTATCAGAAATTAGAAAGGGACCTTCTTGAGTGTAGGTTGTGTGTTGTCTGACCACTACGAAGTTCTTCAGCTCACACTGTTCCCAGCACCTGATAGAGGCCATACTCCAGGATAGCGTACTTGTAGCATTCTGCAAATTTGGGTTATGCAGGGACTGCAAAGTGCTCCTGTCAGATAATCCCCACATTCCTATGACAGAGAAATGGGTATTTCTCAACAATGGAAAACATAGATCCTAAACGTTTGTCAGCGTCACCAGTAACTCTCAATTTTTGTGTCTGGATTCATGGGGAAAGAAAAGGAAGGAAAAGCTTTTAAAGACCATTTTATCTTTATTCAATCGTATTTCCCACATAGACACATGAAAGTTTGCTATTTTTCATACCTGTTCCTAAAGGTCTGCACTAACATCATAACTTCGGTCTAGTGTCAGGTGAAGTTAGAAGTTTCATATCCACTTGCTTGCTACTCTGAGCACTAGAAACCTGTGGTGTCTCACCACAGTTGAAATTCTTCCCCACTCTCCACAGTCCCTAATAATATCCTGGACATGTACCTTCATCTATATTCATGAGAGTGCAGATGCAGCCAAATTAGTGGCAGCAAAGCACATTTTACACTGTAGAAAATACAATCTGTCTTCTTTTTGATTTTTTTTTATATAAAAAAGTTTTATT